CCTAGTGGAAGACAGCACGGTGGAGGTGGCTGGCTGACTTGGGAAAGCCAGCAAATGAAGTCTGGAAAGCATCAGGTCAGGTATGAGGCCTGGGTTTTGCCACTTTCCACTTCAGGCTGTCTGTCACCAGCCATTCATCCCTACTGCTATGTGCCTCAGTGACCTCACTGATGAATAAGGAGCTGGACCAAGAAAGAGGCACATGCCTATGAACCCAGGGCACTTGACCATCACAATGGAGTGCATTTCCTTCAACATGCTCAATGCTCCAGGGCAAGGACAGGTGGGTATACCTTGGGAGCCTCCTCTGTGCATTCTGGTACCTTCAACCACCATGTGCTTGGTACCAATGACTCCTGAATGTAAAACATTCTGAAACTACATGGAACTCTATAATAAAATGAGCTTTTCTTCAACTTACAAAAAAATGTGGCTCTTATATTGAAAAGAAAGATTGAGAAAAGATTTGGAAAAGGTGGATCCTTATGTTAGTTTTACCAAAACGTCTTTGCTTTTAAGTAAGTGATTTTATATCATTTTTTAAAAAATCCCTAAATAGTGCCCTAATCTAGTAAACAGTACATATTTGTTGAAAAAACAAAAAAGTGGTTTCCTGTCCTGAGCTTCAAGAATTCCTGTTGAGCCTAACAGACACTGTTAGGCTCTGAATTTTCTTAATTCCTAAAAGAGTTAAAAGTTAGGAACTGCAGTGGAAGCTGCATTAATATTTTGAGTGACTTAACTTTAAATGTCTTTTAGTAAATGGACATGACTCCCAAATCAGAAAATATTTTATTTTTTAATGAAATAGTTAACAATTTTGTATTAAGGAATTTGTTTTACAGAAATGCCTACATAACGTGCAAACATAAATGTAGAGGTTATTTGTTGCTGTGTTATTTGCAACAACAAACAATTTAGTATTAACTTGGCCTATGTAAACTACAATGTAGCCTTGTAGTGGAATGTCATGTAATCATTAAAAGATTTTAATAGCCTTGCATAATATCAGGGAAAATGTCCATTTCATATTTCAAACTTACATATACATACTCCATCGTATGCACTCACAATACACACACACCTTACAGACCTTCATTCATGCTTGGGCTAAAAGTCTAAAAATATATCAAAATTTTATTATTGGAATTGAAAATGGAAGATACATTTTATACCTTAAACATATTTGAATTATTTTTATAATGAAAACATTTGGAAGAAAATAAAAATGGTGAAATATAATGCTAGCATCAGGTGAGTATAAATGCTGACATATACTTCTAGAAAATGATTTAGCAATGTGCTTAAGAACATTTATATATTTTGACTCTATAATCCATTTCTAGGAGTCTCCCTTAAGTAATTTCAAATCATGAAAAGAATTCATATAAAAGCATTATTTATCATAACAAAAAGTGGAAAGGATTTACATATGTAGTCAATGACAGTACATATACAGAAGTAAAATTTTGATGTTGTAAGGTTAAGGTGGTAAAACATTTATGTGCAGTATGCACATAGCTATTAAATATACAAAAACAAGACTAAAAATGCATATGATAGATCGCATTATGCCCAAATCTTAATAATAGCTATATTTTTATGAGATTTTTCATATAATTTATGTGAGATTTTGCATATAATTTGTATTTTTTTCTGTGCTCTCCTCTAATAATCATATTCAATTCTGCAACAATAAAAACTACTTGTTAAATTATTAGTATAATCATCATCTATATAAAAAAATCAGACATGTCAAATGACCAGAAAAGAAAATCAATTAATGAGGAAGATTTGAAAAACATTCATGCTCTGAGGAAATTGGTGATTGCAGTGAGGCAAAGATCTGAACTGAAGAGTCATTGACCTTAACTGTGTGTCTGAACATGATTTCCATTGAAGGGGCAAGGGCACAGCCCCACCCATTGTGCTGAAGTGTCATCAATTATGAGGAAAAGCCTAAAGACTTCATAAAGATTTTCTCTTATAGAAAGCTCAATATAAGAAAATAAAGAAAGATTTATTTTTAATTTTTGAAGAGGGTGATGGTCTATTCCATACTTGGCACAAAATAAAGTTATGTGTTTCTGAGATTTAAACTTTATGTAACTGACATATTTTATGTATTTTTTTTGTACTTTGCTTTTGTGCTGAATGTGGTATTCAGCACATTGTGAATGTGAAAAACCACAAAATAATTTTATTTAGAGATTCATGTTTATGCAGTAAAACTATAAAGTAATGGGGGCAATATATAAGCATGAAGTCTAATGGTGATGATTTCCGGGTTGGAGAAAGGGACCTAGACAATAAGGAGAGGAGCATATAGGTGACTTAGTATTGGTATTAGTAAAAACTGATATTAGTAAAATACCATCTCTTTAGCGCAGAGGGATGCATAGACATTTACTTGTTATTTTGACTTATATTTAATATATGAATTTATACACTTACATATATTTAAGTATTTCATAATGAGAATGGAAAACATTTCTTTGTGTTAAAAGGTAAAGATTCTGTTAACAATTGAAATCTAATCAAAAGAAGAAACTTTGCAACCTTGGAGGCCCTCTAGTGCCCATATTGGACAAGTACAGTTAAGGCTTTCAATTCTCTTACATGATCCACTCAAAATTTCGTTTCCTTAAAAACACAAATTAACACCAAGAGAAGAAGGAATATTCCCAAAATTATTGAGGTTAAATAGTACGTTATACATCAAAATTTAAAACACAGCCATACTTCATTCTTTCAAAAATAACCCCAAACATATTTTTATTCTTTGCAAGAACATTCCATAAAACATTTCAAAATTCAAATACACATTTCAAAGATGAGACAGTTTTTAAAAGGCTATAGAATTGAAAAAAATAGTCTTTTCCCTCATAGTCTCCCTTTAAAATTTTTAGAATTACTACGCTTAATAGCAATAATTTTCTTATTGAATTTATGAAAAAAAATCACACCAAGTGTCTCTTCCTCAGAACTCAGCTCTAATGTTATTACCCTCAAGTCCTGTGGGTTAAAGAGATCTTTCTAGATATATGAGCTTTGAAAACACTAAGCTAATATTTTAGGAGATTTGTTCCATCCTCCTTTATATTACAATTATTTGTATACAGAGCTTATGTGCCTGTCAGATTTTTATGTAATATGAAGACAAAATCTTTTCTTTTTTACTTTTCTGTTCATTCACAGAAACTGGAACATTTTGGATACATTTTTTTCCAGTTAATTTAAGAGACATAGCATTATTTTAAAACCAACTTTAGTTTGAAACATTTTGTAGTTAGACCAAATTTGTCAAAAGAATTAGCCAGAGACAGTAGCCAGATATATTCAAAATTATTGTAGGATATAGTGTAAAGGGCAGCTAATGTGAAATTTAACTAGATTGTGTCATAGGCACAATTTATGTTTAAAAAGGTAGAAATCAGCTAACATTTAAAATACTGTTGGGATTCAAACTATAGCCTTGCATGAAATCTGGCAGCTAAATTCCACAAAAAAAAGAACACAGAACTTCAACTTCAAGTGTGTCTTGTGAATACTAGGGAAGGAATTTATCAACCTCAGAATTCCCATTGGCAAAAGTGAATTCGCATGTAGTATGCATATACATAATGGAAACAAACACACCTGCAGCATTCCTGGACTATACTTGCCACCCACCCAGTGCATTGTTCTAGGAAGCAACACACTAGCACTGAAATTCTCATTTATCTTGTTTTTAAAAAGGAGCCCTTTTTCACTAAATAACAAAGTATTATGTGTCTCAACCTGCTTTATAAATGTTGATCCCCCATAATCCCCTTGCTTGGTGATATTTACTTCTATAGGTTTCAGATGAAGAAACTGAAGTCACAGATAAAGTGACTGCTCAAGGTGCTGAGGTTACTCAGTTCCCAAACTGTGCTTACCTTTGTGACAAATTGTAGTTATTTGTTTTGTTGCCCACAAAGTATTTTTTTCTTTTAATGTATAGCTATTATTTTAATAATATATATTATTTCATCGTTGCTCATTTTTTCTTTTAGCATTTATAATTTTTTACATTTTTTAGACAATATTTGCTTCCCCCCACCCCCTCAGATTGAGTCCCCATAGAATCTCCTTCCCCAAGGCACCCATGCACCATCACCACAGTCACATGTGCTCCTCCCTCCCTCCCTCTCACCCCTGTCCCTCCTCCTCCCCTGCAGTATGTCTCTGGTTAATAATTGTCTGTTTTTGCTTTGTTGTGTTTTGTACTGTTATTATTTTTTTACACTGATGTCTTATTTGGTTCCCCTACATTCCTGTTATAAGTGAAATCATACAATATTTTTCTTTTTCCTTCTGGTTTATTTCACTGAGCATAATTCCTTCTAGCTCCATCCATGTTGCTGCGAATGACATGAGTTTATCCTTTTTGATTTCTCCTCTCAGGTGCAGTCCCCATAAAATTCCCACCACCTGTGCATCATCACCATAGTCTCTTGTGCTCTTCCCTCCACTGTTTTGATCCCTCCCTCTTCCTTGCAGAATGTCTCTGATTTATAGTTGCCTGCTATTTTTTAAAATTTGTTATTATTATTTTCCTGATCCCTTGCTTGGTTCACCTATATTCCTCCTATAAGTGAAACCATCTATATTTTTCTTTTTCCTTCTGGCTTATTTCACTGACCATAATCCCTTCCAGCTCCATCCATGTTGCTGCAAATGGCATGAGTTCATCTTTTTTGATTGCTTAATAGTATCTCTTGTGCATGTGTGTATGTGTGTGTGTATATATATATATATATATATATACACACATGCATACATACATACACCATTTTGGAGCATTTGGGTTATTTCCACATTTTACCTATTGTAAATAATGTTCTTTCAAGAAAAATTTACCTTTCTTCTTAAGCTATGTTCAATAAAGATCTTTATTTCTTCATTTGCAATAGATCCCCATTACTGTTTCTTATCCTTAGTCATAAGTAAGGGGAATAATTCTGAGAAGAGCTCACCGACTTGTATTTGTATAAATTGCTCTGGAGCTCCGAGGTTTGGCTAGAGATGTGATGTCTCCAAAAGGGTTGTCAATATCATCATCATTTGCAGATTGTACACATCCGCTGTTGGGGATAGGGGAGAGAACAGTGTATGTCATTTTTTAAGAAGAAATAAATAACCATGTTCTAACTTCCAAAGGAAATCTTACTTGCCAAAATAGATCAAAAATTTCAAATGCGAAAAATTAATTGTGATGATGAAATGATTTGCTGAAAGAAAGGAAAATTTCTCTTTTTCAGAGTGAGTCTCCAGGCTCTTGTGATCTTAAGTTTGGGCCAGGTAAGAGTAACAGCTAACTTGTATTTTTGAGAAAAATAGCTATTTCTGCAGTCTTTGAGAAAAATTTTCACTGGAGTCTGGGGGTGGCCCGCAATAAGACAGAGACAAGTACAGTGCTCCTGTGGAGATGGAAACGTGTATAAGTGAGCAAGGATCCTGGCCAACCAGTGATGGATGTGTCTAAGGGAACTGTGAGAAGGCCTAGTGGCTGTGTGGACATATATCAGAGTGTCCTAGTCAATTTTACTGCAGTGCAGAAAAGGCAACATTAATGAAGGTGGAAGAAAAGGGCCAGACCCCTCAATTTTCTTGCATTTACTTTGCTCCAAGTACCATAATCAAATATTTCTGTTCCCCTAAAATTCACATCTTGAAATTGTAATGCCCAAAGGTTATGGTTTTTGAAGGTGGGGTTTTTAGGAGGTGGGAGGAGCTTAGGTCATGAGGGTAGAGCCCTCATGAATGGGATTAATACTTTTATAAGTGACCTCACAAAGCTCCCTTGCCCTTCCACCATGTGATGACACAAGGATAAGTCCATGAGGACCCAGAGGTTCCTCTCTCAGCCAAACTGGCTTCCTGATGTAGAACTGTGAGAAAGAATTGCTGCTTCTAAGCCACCCAGTCTACATTATTTTATTATAGAGACTAAGACACAAAGTTATCTTCAATCTAAATCAAGAGTACTCCAAATGATGGAGAATAATCATCTTTTTCATCCTTGGAAATCCAGACTTAAATTTAGAAAAAATATAAGTTTACATTTCTTAGAATTCTCTGTTGGTGTGCACCTCATATCTTCCACATCAAGTATAAAGTCTTTTGATTATAATAGTTATTATTATTAGCATCCAAAGTATTTTATGAAATAAAATTTGGGGAAACAGAAAAATACTGCCCCCTTTCTTTCTTTTATCAAAATCTTCAACCTTTAACAAAACTTCCAGAGCTAGAAAGATATTGGAAATAATTTTTAATTTCCACTTATCTTAAAATAACTTTTAAGTTATTTTTTAAAGTTATCTTAAAAAGAAAATTTATAAATATGAATGAGCTGAAAGCAACTACAACTTAGATGTAAATTTTAAAAACATTAGGGAATATTACTTACGTATAGAGTGGAATATATTTGCTTCTAGAACATGGGCTCACACTTAGAAGAAGAGAAAATATATGCAGTTGAGCTACTGACATTAACTTAATTAAATATGAAATAACTATAGTATTTCTATTATTAAAATAAAAGAATTCTGCAGAGATATAAGAATTTAAGCTTGAAATTTGAAACTAAAAATACTTTAAAATGTAGTTTTAAATGAAAATCAAAACCAGGACAAATTAACTCCAGATTTCCGTTGACATATTCTTTGTTGAATCTTATGATTTAACTCTATGTCAGTCTGTTTCTTCATTTTTTATTTTTTGATGTAGAATTCCCTACTGATAATACTTGAAATATTTGCCAAGGGTTAACCTCTCATTTTCTTAGATAAATTATTTATATTTAAGTGCATCTTACTGATCAGCTAGTCTAATCTTCTATATCAGAGATAAACCAGCTTCAGCGCATATAAGTTGAGTAACATATACAAGGTTGCAGCTATTTTCAGCATAAAGTTATTATGTATTTTCCTTCTCTAGCCTGAGAATTAGTCATTTTCTAAGAATCTAAACATTTATTTTATTAGAGTGTGCTATTATTTTACCACATGATATATAAATTAAAAGGTGCTAATAAAGTTTTCCACTAGCACACATAATTTTAAGAGTCAGTACCAATTTACAATTTTATTCTTTTAAAAGATTTTTGAACGGGATTATCAATAATTTCAACTTGCTGTATTTATAAGGATCTTATATGTATTTTTAAAGATTTTATTTTCTTTATTTATACAAGAACTGGGGTACAGGCCAGAAGCACAGGAGGGTGACAGAATTCACCAGAGACAGAATGGGGAGCAGAACAGGCAGATGACTGAAAACACTGCTGAGGAGAGGAGCGGGCTAGACAGGAGAGGTCTGCCATGCCATGTGGGTATCTCCCTGGCCAGCTTAGAATCGAACCCATGCTGCAGAGGTTGTGGACTTCTTCATAGCGCCGTACTCAACCTGCTGCACCACCAGGGAGGCCCTGGATCTTATATTTTTGAAAGAATCTTTTATTGAAATAGTTTTATTTAAATTACTATCATTCAATTCATGCAGTGTAGTCTATTTCTTATGTTGGGGCTTTTACACATCTTTGAAACCATTTTTAAGAAGTTATTTCAAAATTTTGCATACTAGATTTTATTTATTCACAGATAGCAAGATGGGAAATGTATTTATTTTTTAGTTATATTTATTGAGACAATATTGATTTACATCGCAGTGTATGTCTGAGGAGTATAGGTTTATGCCTCTATAGTCATATGTTATTTCACCACACCCACCACTGAAGCCCCAGTAATCCTCCATTACACCACCCTCTCCACTTTGCTCCCACTCCAACTCATCCCTCTCTGGTAATTTTAGTCATAATTCAATGTGTTCTTTCCCCTTCTGTTTTCACCCCTCTCCTCTCACTCTCCTTCCTCCTCCCCTCCTGGATGCTTCAGATCTGTAGTCAGTTTTCAATGTTTGTCTTTGTATGAACTTGTGTTTGGTTTCTCTATATTCCAAATATAAGTGAAAACCATCCAATATTTAGCTTTTTCCTTCTGACTTACTTAACATAGAATAGTCCCTTCCAGCTCCATCCATGTTGCCCCAAATAGCATGAGTTTATCTTTTTTTGAAGGCTGAGGAGTTTCCATTGTGTATATATACTACATTTTCCTGATCTATCCATCCATATTGGGACATTTAGTTTGTTTCCATAGCTTGGCTATTGTAAATCCTGCTGCAATAAAGACAGGAGTGCAAGTTTCTTTTAAAATTTGTGTTTCTAGGCCTTCCTGGTAGCACAAGGGGTTAAGACACAACCTATGCCATTCGCAGCAACATGGATGGATCTAGAGGGAATTATGCTCAGTGAAATAAGACAGAGGAAAAAGAAAAATATCGCATGATTTCACTTATAACAGGAATATAAGGGAAACCAAATAAGATATCAGTGTAAAAATATAATAACAGTACAAAACACAACAAAGCAAAAACAGACAATTATAAATCAGAGACATACTGCAGGGGGGGAAGAGGGAGAGGGGACCAAGGGAGAAAGGGAGGAGCACAGGGGACTGAGGTGATGGTGCATGGCTGCATTGGGGAAGGAAACTCTATGGGGTGTAGGGGCAGGATGGGCACTGAGCAAGTCATCTATGATCCGGCAGTCAAGTAAAGGAGAGTCTTAGAGCCCTCGGTGGCTTTCTCAGTTTTTTATTGAGCTTTACATGCACTGCAGCAACCAGGTACATGGCAGGCAGGAGTGCCAGGGGGGCAGGAGGCTGCCAGGCCTCCAAGCCCCCCAGCAAATCGTCACTCTGGGCTTCTCTGGCCTTCTTTCTCCCCTTCTCTCTCCTGCCTCTTCTTCTGCTTCTCTCTCTCGTTTCTCTGCTGCTTCTTTACTGCTTCTGCTTCTTTACAGCTTTTGCTTCTCTGGGGGACTATCTCAATACTCCTCTCATGGCCCACAGAAGTAAGTAAGACAGCTTGCAACAATGTAACAACTGCAGGTGCCTGTCAGGCAGGGCAATCCTAATGGTGTGAGGGCAGAAAAGCCTGAAAACCATTTATCCTACAGGGGACTACACTTAAAGGGGTGGGGGCAAGCAAATAATGTTTAAAAATGAACAATGATGTAAAAAAAAATTTAAAAATTAATTTAAAAAAAAAAAGATACAACCTATGAAGCTATCCATAGCTGCTGCAGCACAAGTTAGATCCCCAGCCAAGGAGCTACCCACCAGACTGATTATTTGCATATGGAAGGCAACTGATTTTTGTTTATTTTCTAAACCTGCCAGGTACTGAGCTGGTTTATTGTTTTAATTAGTATTTCTGTGGATGTTGAAGGTTTACCTGTGTATGTGATCATATCATCTGGAAATAATGTTAGCTTTAATTATTCTTTCCCTGTTTGGATTTCTTTTATGTCTTTCTCTTGTCTAATTACTCTAGCTAGGACTTGCAGTAGTATGTTAAATATCAGAAGTGAAAGCTGACACCCTTGTCTTTACCAGATCTCAGGCTTTTCTTTCAGGTTATTCACCATTAAGAATGGTGTTAACTGTGGGTTTGTCCTTTTATTGTGTTAAGTTTTGTTCCTTTCATTCAAAAATTTTCAAGGACTTTCATTATGAATGAATATTGAACATTATCAGATACTTTCTCAGCATCTATTAATATGATAACATGGTTTTTATTTTTCTTTTTTATCAATTTAGTGAATCACATTGATTGAATTTGGATTTTGAACCATCTTTGTATCCCTGGAATAAATCCCACTTGGTAATCCTTTTAATGTATCGTTGGATTTTGTTTGCTAAAATTTTATTGAGGATTTTAGCATCTATTTCATTAAGAGATTGGTCTATAGTTTTCTGCTTTTGTGTTGTCTTTGTTTGGTTTTGGTATTAGTGTGATGTTGGCCTCATAAAATGCATTTGGAAATATTCTTTCAGAATTTTTTTAACAGAACTTGAGCAGACCACATATTATTTTACCTTTGAAAGCTTGGTAGAACTCTCATATGAAACCATCTGGTCCTGAGCTTTGGAAAAATTTTTACTACTGTTTCAATTTCCCTGCTTGTAATTGATTTGTTTAAATTTTCTTTTTCTTCCTTATTCAGTCATAGGTGATTGCATAATTCTAATAATTTTTCCATCTCATCTAGATTGTATAAATGTGTATAAATAGTCATAGTAGGCCCTCTCTGGTGGTGCAAGGGGTTGAGATGCAACCTATGGAGCTGTCCTCAGCCACTACAGCATGAGTTCAATCCCTGCCTGGTCAGGGAGCTACCCACATGGCGCAGCAGACCTCTTCTGACTTGGCCACTGCTCCCCTCAGCAGTGTATTGCTATCAGTCTGCCTGTTCTGTTCCCCAACTCTGTCTCTGGTGAATCCTCTCACTCCCTACACCTCTGACCTGTACCCCAGTTCTTGTATGCATAAATAAATCTTTAAAAAATAAATATTCATATGAGTCTCTAATTATCCTCTGGATTTCTGGCATGTCTATTGTAATTTTAGAACTTTCATTTATGAACTTAATTGTTTGAATTTTCTCCTACTTTTTCTTTGTGAGCCTAGCTAGAGGTTTGTCTATTTTGTTTATTTTTTCAAAGAACTAGCTTTTGGTTTCATAGATCTTTTGGACTGTCTTTTTTTACTTCTATTTTATGTATTTCTGTTTTGATTTAATTATTTCCTTTCTTCTGCTAGATTTTGGCTTTTTTGTTCTTCTTTTTCTAGTTCTTCAGGATTAGAGAGTGACAATAAAATTTATGTATGGTGATGAGGCTCAATATGATTCTCAATATTGTCACTATTTGCATTTTCAGATACAACAGGTAAACTTGATTTTATTTATCATATTTCTACTACATTATTCTTTTTATATTTTAATCATAAATATCCCTTTTATTCAGTTATTCATTTTTCATTTTTTATAAACAATAGTAAGTTATTTCCCACAGTTTTGGACTAAGATTTCTAAAATCACTGTAGCTGCAAAAAAAAAAAAAAAATCAGTCATGAGGATCCACTTAATTATAGACAGCTAACTTTTCACTATAAACTCAGGTGGCAGGATGGGTGAAGTGTCTTTCTGGAGCCTCTGAATTAAGGGTATTTTTGAGGTCTTTGCCTCAGGGCTAACTACCACCCAAAGGCTCTGGACTTGTAACACCATTTCCCCTGAAGACTATGATTTTAACATATCAATTTGTGGGGAAATAAACATTCATCTGTACATAATTAATGCAATGTACTTAAAATTGCACATATTTTTCATATATTTGAGAAAATACATACATGTATGTATTTTCTCTATTTTAATTATTTTAATGATATTTCTGAATAATGATCTTTAGTATGTTTGAACCCCTTGCATTATCTGTCTCACCTCCAAAGTGGTGTGCCTTGCTGTCCTAGGTGATGTCTACTTGTTCATGTAAAGCCTCCTCACTGACATCTTTTCTTTTTTAACTTGTATTTTTAAATTAGAGGTATCATTGGTTTACAACCTTGTATATGACTTAGGGGATGAGGTCCACGCTTCTATTTTTTTAAGATTTATTTATTTATGCATACAAGAACTGCGGTGCAGGCCAGAGGTGCAGGGGCTGAGAGGATTCACTAGTGACAGGTGGGGAACAGAACAGGCAAATCGACTGAAATACACTGCTGAGGGGAGCAGCTGGCCAGGCAGGAAAGGTCTGCTGTACCATGTGGGTAACTCCCTAGTAGGCTGGGGATCGAACTCATGCAGCAGTGGCTGCGAATAGCTTCATAGCTTGCCTCTTAACACAACCAGGGAGGCCCTGGGTCCATGCTTCTGATATATACCAGACTACACCTACCACCAAATCACCATCCTCCACTTTGTCCCCTTTTGCCTTTGTTTTCAACTCCCACTGTCAATTAAACCATGCTGGATTCTGCAGACATTTCTGAACTTTGTTTTAGTTTACTCCACCTATGAAAGAAATCATCCAGTATTTGTGTTTCTCCCTCTTGCCTATTTTACTTAGCACAACCATCTCCAATCCATCCACATTATCACAGATGGTAGTTCTTCATTTTTGAAATAGCTGAACAGTATTCCATGATGTGTATGTACTACATCTTGTTAATCCAGTCCTCAGTCTTGGGACATTTAGTTATTTCCACAGTTTGGCTATTGTAAATAGTGCTACAATGAACACAGGAGTGCATTCAAATTAGTGTTTTTTGCATTCTTTGGATAAATGCCAAAGGGTGGAATTACTGGACTATGGTATATCTATTTTTTTAATTTATTTTTTATTATTTAATATATTTTATTTTATATAATTATTACATCATTTTCATTTTTGCACAATGTAAGCATTTTGATTTTGGTTATATTCCCCATACAATTCCACTCCCCTTATTTCGACCCTAATCCCTCCTCTCATCCTCCGCCTCCCCTCGTAGTGTATCTTTGGTTTATAGTTGCTTGTTGATTTTGATTTTTTTTCTTTATTATAATTAAGAAAAAGACTAATTATAATATGGTGTATCTATTTTTAACATTTTGGGGAACCGCCCTACAATTTTCCATAGGGGCTGGACCAGTATGCGATCCTATCAAAAACATACATATATTCCTCTTCATTCACACTTTTGCCAACATTTGTTCTTTCTGGGATTTTTGTTATGTGTCATTCTCACATTAACACTGGAGTGAGGCAGTGCTCACTGTGGTTTTGCTTTGCATTTCCCTGAATACAAGTGATGTTGAACATTTTTTCAAGTGCTTATAGGTCATTTGTATGTCTCCTGGAAGAAGTGTCTATTTAACTTCCCTGCCCACCATTCTTTGATTGGGTTCTTCTCTTTTTATTGAGTTTCATGACCTCTTGGTACATCATGGACATTATCCCCTTGTTGTATGTATGAGGTGCAAATATTTTCATCCACTCATTTAGGTTGTCTTTTTATTTTAACTTATAGCTTGGTTTCTTTTATTGCACAGAAGCTTCTTGGTTTGATGTCATCCCATTTGTTTATTTTTGCTTTATTATTTTGATATTGGAATAGAGTCCCCAAAGACATCATTGAATCCAATGTTGTATAGTGTTTTGCCTATGTTTTCATCTATATATTTAATGAATTCTGGTCTTAAATTCAAGTCTTTGATCCATTTTGATTATGGTGTGAGAAAATAAGGTGGTTTCGTTTTCCTTTGTGTTGTTTGCCAGTTTACCCAGCACCATTTGTTTGAAGAGACTTTCTTCTCTCCCTTGTGTATTCTTGGTTTCTTTGTCATAGATTAACTATCCATATAAATTTGAGTCTATTTCTGGGATCTTAATTCTATTCCATTGGTTTATGTGCCTGTGTTTATTCCATTATCATACTCTTTTGACTATCAACTTGACTACTATCAATTTGAAATGTGAAAGTTTGATATTACCATTTCCCTTCTTTTTAAATCAAAATTTATTTGTTTATTCAGGATCTTTTGTGGTTACATATAAATTTCAATAATGTTTGTGGTTTCTTTGAAGAAGTCCATTGAAATTTTGATAGGGATTGCATTGAATCTGTAAACTGCATTGGGTAAAATGGAAATTTTGACTATGCTAACTCTTCCAATTCATGAGCATGGGATATCTTTCCATTTCCATGCAGTTTCTATTTCTTTTAGCAATTGCCAGTAGTTTTCAATGAACTGATCTTTCACTTCCTGAAGTTCATTCCTAGATATTTAATATTTTTTGATGTTATTGTAAATGGACTTTGTTTTCTTGATTTATTTCTCTAATTTGTATAAATGGAAGCAACACAATTTTGTATGTTGACTTTCTTAGCTTGCCACTTTACTGTGTTGATCTATAGTTTACATATAATATGTAATATATATATAGTTTATATATAATACATTATGTGTAGTTAATATGTAATACTTAATATATAATATATATATGTATATATACCCTTAAAGATCCTACTAAACATTTATATTTATATTTTACTATATTACTATATAAAATTATATTTTATATTTTATATGTATTTAAATATATTTTATATAATTACTACTTAATATATATATAATACATATAGTACATAAATTATACATATTCATGTCTTCTGTAAATAGTGATAGCTTTACCTCTTCTTTTCCAATTTGGAATTATTTATTTATATCTTTATGTATTTATATCTCAATTATTTATATATTTCTTTTATGAAATTGCTCTAGATAAAACTTCAAATATTATGCTGAGCAGTAGTATGAGAGGTACATCCATGTCATGTACCTGATCTTAGAGGAAAAGTTTTCATTTTTCAACACTGAGTATGTTGTCAGCTGTGGATTTATTATATATGACTTTTATTATGCTGTGGTATGCTCCTTAAAACCCTGTTTTTAAAGTTTTTATTACAAATGTGTATTCAATCTTGTAAAATGCGTTCTCCGCATCTACTCACATGATCATATGTTTTTTTATCTTTTCTTTTGTTAATATGGCTAATTAAATTGATTCATTTTAATATCTTGAACCATTCTTGCATACCAGGATAAACCCTACTAGGTCATGATTTTTGAATTTTTTTTTTAAGATTTATTTATTTTTATACAAGAGCTGGGGTATAGGCCAGAGGCATGAGAGGGTGAGAGGATTCATCAGAGACAGAGCAGGGAGCAGAACAAGCAGACCAAAGAAATACACTGCTGAGGGGAGCAGCAGGCACGACAGGAGAGGTCTGCTGCGCCATGTGGGATTCTCGCCAGCTGGCTAGGATCCAACCTGCACTGCAGAGGCTGCAGACAGCTTCACAGCATGGTGCTCAGTCAGCTGCACCCCCGGGGAGGCCCTGATTTTTAAATATTTTTTGCTAAGATTTTTATTTTTGTTTCATCAAGGATATTGGTCTATAGCTTTCTTTCTCTTTGATGTCCTTGTGCTTGTACTCTAACACTTTAGGTGTCAGAGCAATGTTGGTCTCATAGAATGTGTTTGGGAGCATTCCATCTTCCTCAATTTTTGGAAGAGTTTGAGGTATTATATTAATTCGTCTTTGCAGGTTTGGTGGAACTCATTAGTGAAACCATCTGGTCCTGAGTTTTGCTTTTTTAGGAGACTTAACATTTCAATTTACTTGCTTGCAATTGATATGTTCAGATTTTCTCTTTCTTCTTCATTCATTCTGAGGTTGCATACATCCAAGAACTTATCCATTTATCCCAGATTTTCAAATTCATTGAAAAAAAACAAAATTTAAAAGACAATTTACGTAATTTTATTGAAATAGGGAAATTGTCAAAGATTTGAAAAATGTTATTCTTGATAATATTTTTAATAACTGTAACTTAATTAAAAAGTGCACTAATTTTGCTGACTATGGTCAAAAATATTCCTGCAACGAAGTGTGGATTCAGTTAATATAAAACTAAATATTCAATTTTATCCCTCTGTTGAGTTGATGGTAAAATATGCTATCATAAAATCAGAAAATCATGTGAAATTCCAGATGAAAAAACATGAAATAATTTCATTTTGGACAAGATTTTTTTAAAATTCAAGATGCTAATAAGTGTGAATCTTACAAACACAATACTGAACAGAAGTGTTAAGTTGAAATAATATATGTTTGATACCACATATTGAGTTATAGACATGAGGCTCAATGCCATATATTGGTTAAAAATAACATATTTTTCAGGATTAAAGGAATACATGCAAATGTGACACATTAAGCACAGAATAATGGTGATCCCTGAGGAAAGAAATATATATGGCCATCCAGTGTTTAGGTAGTTATTTATTTATAAGTAGATATACAGATTATATCACATTCTTATTTACACATTTTTGCAAGTATGAATATTCAAAAATAAATGGAAAAAATTAAAACACATAATGATCTGGATTGTGGGTTGTAGTAAAAACAAAAGTAGAAACACCAAATTTTTAGGCAAATGCCCAAAATTACATGTGTAAGAATTAGTAATAAAGTAAAAAATAATTACGTATTACAAAAGTTGATAAAAAAATGCATAGTCCCTTAAAATCAATAGATTTTGCAAAATTATAATACTTCATACCAAATTATTTATAAAATATTCCTTATTTTGAAATGAACATGGTATAAATTTGCTATATTTAGTATTCTAAACTTTAAGGAGAATTAAGAGAAAATTAGAGAAATCAGGGAACACTGACCATTAATTGATTGATTTGGTATTTGGGTTCTCTCTCTAGTCACAGAAATGGAAGCCTGAGGCCCCTTGGAATGCTCTCCAGAGCACACAACCCTCAACTTTCTGTCACACATGGGCTAGCGTGTCAGATTGTTAATCATAAACATGTGGTAGTGAAAAATCTGGTAATGAAAACATTACGAGATAAAACTTACAAAGTAGTTGGTTTTACTGATGCCAACAAAGGTCTTGTTTGAAATCGATCCCAGAGTCCACCAACCATCTAAAATTATCATCAAAATGAATGGCAGATATTTAATAAACAACTTGTATACATGCATCAATTACTGTAATTTCTAGTATATAAACTACTGTGTTCTTAAGTCATGCCTGCATCATAGGCACATCCTTCACTTACAATGAAAAGCATTCCCCAAACATCCTTAACCATTCTGGTTTGTCCCAAATCCACTCCTGATTGCCACACAGCTCTCAGACCTTTGATTCAGTTTGTTTTCTCACAGCTGAAATCTGTCCATAATCCACCTCCTTTGTATTAAAGTCTTTGTGCAGGTCTGATTTTGCTTTTCATTCCAGGGATTGTGAAAACTTTAATCCAACTCAGCTTACCCTCTGCATTCCCAGATTTGTCTCCCTTATCCAGTTCAGTCCAGATCCTGAGCTTTGAACCACATATTGCTGGGCTGGACTTTGGATACCAGTATAATTTAACACCAAAAAAAATAAGTAATAAAATGACTATGTTTCACAAGATAAAAATATTTTTGAAATATTTTGAAATATCCTGAACATAGTTATAAGAATCAAGACAGATATTTTTTTTCTTTTTTTTAATATTTTATTTATTTTTTAATAAATTTTATTTTTATATTCCCCATACAATTGGACCCCCTTATTTTGACCCCAATCCCTCCCTCCCTGCTCTCCACCCCCCATAGAGTATCTCTGATTCATAGTTGTTTGTTGATTTTGATTTTCACTTTCTTATAGTTATTCATTTTCCTGGTCCCTTATTTAAGTTTTCTAGATTCCTGCTATGAGTGAGACCATCCGGTATTTTTCTTTTTCTTTCTGGCTTATTTCGCTGAGCATGATCCCTTCCAGCGCCATCCATGTTGCTGCAAATTGCATGTGTTTATCTTTTTTGAATGCTGAGTAATATTCCATGGTGTATATGTACCACATCTTCTTGATCCAGTCATCTATTTTTGGGCATTTGGGTTGTTTCCAAAGCTTAGCTATTGTAAACAGTGCTGCTATAAACATAGGGGTGCAGGTGCTCTTTGGAGTTGATGTTTCTGTGTCCTTTGGGTAAATACCTACGAGTGGAATTGCTGGATCATATGGAAGCTCTATGTTTAGTAGCTCCAGAAATCTCCACACAGCTCTCCGTAGTGGTTGGACCAGTTTGCACTCCCACCAACAGTGCAGGAGAGTTCCTTTTTCTCCACATCCTCGCCAACATTTGTGGTTGCTAGTTTTTTTAATATGTGCCATTCTCACTGTGTAAGATGGTATCTCATGGTAGTTTTGATTTGCATTTCCCTGATGACAAGTGATGTTGAACATTTTTTCATATGCCTGTTGGCCATTTGCATTTCCTCTTCAGAGAAGTTTCTTTTTAGCTCTTCTGCCCATTTTTTGACAGGATTATTTTCTTTGTTGTTGTTGAGTCTCATCAGCTCTTTGCAGATTTTTGTGATCAGTCCTTTATCATTCGTGTTGTGTGCAAAAATTTTCTCCCAGTTGGTGGGGTTTCTCTTTGTTTTTGTTATTGTCTCTTTTGCTGTGCAGAAGCTCTTTAATTTGATGTAGTCCCAGCTGTTGATCTTTGCCTTCACTATCACTGCTTTGGGTGATGTAAGACAGACATTTTCACTTTAATTGATTTTTAATTTCAATTTGAAAATCTCATACAGAGACTTCACATTAAAGTTTTTTTTTCTTTCATTTTGCCTTTTTTTCCCTCTGTAAAAACTGAAAAAGTTCTTTAAGATAATGTGGACTTTTAAATCAGTGGTTTATCAACCTATTTGGGGTCCATATTTAGAATTATATTTCAATATAATTGGTTTCCTTTTCAGTCCTATAGATTTTGTATGAAGTGAAAAATAACTTCATTAGGAGAGGTAGTCTTAGGGCTTGTTAGATGTCTAAGTGATGAAATATTACACAAAAGGATTAGGGAATCAATAGAAATAAGTTTGCAAGCACAGAATGAGGGCATGAGGAGGGCAGAAATGAGGTCTAAGTGAGATTTGAAGGATTCAAGATTTTTCCTAGAAAAAAATAGAGTGAGAGAAGCAGTTGAACATTATTTTCAAAAGACAGCACCTGCGGAAGAGCATGCAACTTTGAGAATTTGAGAGAAGCTCAATGTAGATAAAAATATGACAGAATACTATGTGGAGGATGGTGTTGAATGGAGGAGTGGAAGAATAAAAGGAAAAAGGGGGAGAGAGAAGCTGAGAATTTTGTAATGGGTGAATAACAGAAAATTGAGTAAGTGTCATATCAAAGAGTGATGGGTTTAAAAGTGATGATCACTTTAAAGAGTGATAACTTTAAAAAGTGATGGGTTTTAATCAGTGGAATAATAGGAAGAAATTCATACTTTAGGAAAAGTACTCTGGCTGTCATGTGCACATAATAATTCATGTGATAAATTCTTGGTACTCAGAAATGAAAAGAATGGGCAACTCTAGATGGTGTGTTATGCTTTATTTTATTAAATAATGAGAAATGATTCATGAATTTTCCCATTTTGGCTAAAAAATACAGAGATTAGAAGGGAGACCAGAAAACTTGTAGCAGACTCAAGATTCTAAGCTCATTTCCTCCACATACAAATTACAACTAAGCAAAATAGCAACCTCTGAAAGATAAATCAATGACCATCCCATATATTAACAGCAATGGCATGGGTAGGGAAAACTGTAATTATACTGTTTTTAGAGCAATACTGAGGCAGTACAGCCCACAAAGAGAGGAACAGTTACTATATGGAACCCCTTTGCTATTGTAAACCCAAAAGCACATAACTTCTTGTGGATTTTTAAAAAACAGGCACTGTACTGGAGGAAACACAGAGTTGGCATGCATGGCACAGGTTGCACCACTAAAGAACTATAGCAGTAAGGGTGCAAAGTGGTGTTTGCTAGCTTGACTCTGTGACCCCAAACTAGAACAGTTGGAGCCTGAACAGGTGGGCAGAGTCAAATTGTATCACCTGTTGTTTCCTTTTATATGAGGCAACCTGTAACTGTGATATGAAAAAACACTTGCCTGACCTCTACAACCATGACAAAACAGAGACAACTGAATGTTCTCAATAACCACAGCTTGAAGAACCTGGATATTAACGAGAGAAGCAAGCACCCCAGCTTAAGGCTTCATACTGGAAAAACAATAGCTTCTGGTTTGGTCTCAACTGTAATTCCCACCCAGTGCTATGTCTATTGCTCAACCACAATCAAGAGGTTGAGGCTGGCATGAGCCTTTTAATGATGTTTGGCCAGTGAGTTGGCTCAGAGGAGGATAACCAAGATGAAAATGCATACGTTGTGCAAAAATGAAAAATGATGTAAAAAATATATAAAATAAAATTTAAAAAAAATTAAAAAAGATTGCTTTCAATTATCTTGTGCCTTGATGGTAAGTGTGGTGTGGTAAGATACATCTGAAGGAGTGTGATCTTATACCTCTGAGTCACATACATGTAAACAAACTGATGTTATCTCAATAAAGTAAATAACTAAATAAAAAAAAAACAATTTGGGTATCTGCAACACTGTAGGAAGTTTGAAATCTTTTTTTTTTTTTAAGATTTATTTATTTATAAAAGAACTGGCTTACAGTCAGAGGCGCAGTAGGGTGAGAGAATTCTCCAGAGACAGAGCGGGGAAAAGAACAGACAGAGAGATGGAAGACACTGCTGAGGGGAGCAGTGGGCAAGGCAGGAGAGGTCTGCCGCACCATCTGGGTTTCTTCCTGGCCAGCCAAGAATTGAACCTGTACTGGCTGCAGACAGCTACACAGTGTGGCGTTCAAACTGCTGTGCCACCAGGGAGGTCCAAGAAGTTTGAAATCTTGATGCTCACTGGAGGTCAGTTCCTTAATACCCTGGTTCCTTCCTAATTATTAACCCTGATTGGGGCCAGTGACCACACCATTTATTTTCACCTTTTTTTTTTTTTAAATAAAAGTTGATTGGTTTTTATTTATTTATTTATACAAGCACTGGGTACAGTCAGAAGGCGGGAGGGTGAGAGAATTCACCAGAGCCAGAGGGGAGAGCATAGCAGCCAGACTGACAAAGTACACTGCTGAGGGGAGCAGCGGACGGCAAGAGAGGTCTGCGCACCATGTGGGACCCTTGCCTGGTGGCCGGGGATCAAACTGGTGCTGCAGAGGCCGCGGACAGCTTTGCAACCCAGCGCTCAACTGCTGTGCCACCGGGGAGGCCCTTATTTTTACCTTTTTTAAAAGATGTATTTATTTACGCATACAAGAACTGGAGTAGAGGCCAGAGGTGCGGTGGCTGAGAGGATTCACCAGAGACAGAGTGGGGGACAGAACAGGAGGAATGACTGAATTACACTGCTGAGGGGAGAAGTGGGTGAGTCAGGAGAGGTCTGCTGCACCATGTGGGTAGCTCCCTGGCCAGCAGTGGCTGCGAATAGCTTCATACGTTGCCTCTTAACCCCTTGTGCCACCAAGGAGGCAGCCACACCATTTAAATAAGGATAAAAGCATCCATCTATGAAATAACAGACACCTAAAGATTCTGGATAAAATAAACCTAGAGAGTATAAAGTCAATTCATTTAAGTAACAAAAGGTAACTCCTTATTATAAACCATTAAAATTAAAAGTGAAGTGTTACAAGAATATATCACAAATGCTACTACTCTCCCTACCCCAAGAGAAGACTTATTCCATCAGAACTGTAGGATATGTATAATGAGAAGTTTAAGGTAGGTAAAATAATCATGATGGTGAATTAAAAAAATAAGTAAACATCAAACATAAGACACAGTAAAAGATAAATATGCTACTGTTATAAATAGAACTAATGGAACTAAAAAATACTGAATTTAAAAATACAATAGGGAACGTCAACAGTATTAAATATAATTACTACAGAGAATTGGGGAACTTAAATTCACAGTAGTGGAGAACACATAAATAGAACAAAAAAAAGAAAAAAAATTAAAAATAGGGAAAAGAGTGTAAGACTTTTTGTCATAACATGAAGAAAAATATTATATGTATCATTGGGTTCCAGAAGGAAAGAGACAATGAAAGGCATAGTAAATTTATTTAAATAAATAATTATGAAGAACCATCTCAGTATGGGAAATTAATTAGGCATTCTGATTCAAGAGATATAAACTGTTCCAAACAATATCAGACTGATTATGTTGAGTGAAATAAGTCAAAAAGTGAAAGACAGATTTTGGATGGTTTCACCCATCTGGAGAATGTAAATGAACCAAAACCAATTACATACAAACAAAAGAAGAAATAAAAATACAAACTTGGCCAAAAAAAAAAAAATGAAGACGATAATGGTTACCAGTAAGGATAGAGGAAAGGATGAAAGGAATGGACAGGGAGACAGTTGGGGTAGGAATATGGATGGCTGGTTGGAGGGATATAAAAAAGCAAAGAGAGATTTTACTTAAAAAAGTAGGGAATCCGCTGGTGGACTAGATGTTAAGTCTCAGAGCTATCACCAATATGTCCTGAGTTCAATTCCCAGTCAGGGAACTAACCCACATATGGTGCAGCAGACCTCTCCTGTCTTACCTGCTGTTTCCCTTAGCAGGGTATTTCAGTCAGTCTGCCTGTTCTGCTCCCTACTCTGTCTCTGGTGAATCCTCTCACCCCTAGCATCTCTGGCCCCCAGTTCTTCTATGCAAAAACAAAAGAAATAGTACCAGAATGATATATTCCAAGGTATATTATAATTAAACTTTTGAAAGCCAATGATAAGGAAATGATATTGAAAGTAGAATAACTTGTGGTAACACCTATTAAACTGTCCAACTGTCCACAAATTTTTCATTGGAAAACTTATAGGCAAGAAAAGAACAAGGGAAGTTTCAAGTTCTCAAAGGGAAATATTTCTGGCTTAAAAATAACTTACCCTGAAAGACTATCATTTAAGATACAAGGAAGGACAAAAAGCTTCACTGAAAAACTAAAATTAAAGGAATGTATCAACACCAAACCAATCATGAAAGAAATATTAAATGGACTATTATAAAGCAACAACTGAACAAATACAGATGTAGCAGACAACTAAATTATAGAACATGCAGGAGGAAGAGAGTTAATACATGGCCCATCAGAATGAATATGAAATAATAACGTCCAACAGACAATGCAAATAGTCCACCATATACAGGAGCAGAACCTTCAAACAAAGATAAATAAAAGCAACACAGCAACACATAAGGCAATGGAAATGGAAACTAAACAAAACATAAAAGGAGAATGTCAAAAAATAAAAAAAGACAAACTGAAAAATATTCAAAAGCAAGAAGTACTTATGTCTCAATAATCACCTTAAATGTAAATGACTTGAATTCACTAATTAAAAGGTATAGAGTAGTTGAATAGATTTCAAATTTACACTTAAAAATGTGGAAACTATTCTGCAAGCACATGACAATTAAAAAAATGTCAAGAACATCTATACTTATGTCAGTAAAAATTGATTTCCAGTTCAAAGGGGTAATAATACATACATATTACATGATTAAGGGTCTAATACAATAAGATGAAACACTTATAAATATGTGTGCACCAAATGATAGAGCACCAAGATATATAGGGCAGTTATTGATAGAAATAAAGAAAGATATTGACAACAATATATCTAGGGGATTTTAATACTCCACTTACAAATATAGGAAAGTCAACAAAACAAAGTATATATTAGGAAACAGTAGCCTTAAATGAGAAGCTAGACCAATGAAACTTAACAGAAATCAACAGAACAGTCCACACAGAAACTACTGCACACATTTTTTTCAAGTGTGCATTGAGCAAAATCAAGAATCAGCCATATGTTGGGAGAGAAGTCTATTGTCAATAAAACTACAAATATTGAAATCATACCTAGTTAGTATTCTGACCATAATGCCTTAAACATAAAGAACACCTATTAAAAAAAAAAAAAAGACTACCAATGAATATAGGGAGACTAAACAACATGCTGCCTGATAACTATTGCATTAAAGAAGAAATTAAGGCATAAATAAGAAAATATTGAAACTAGTGCAAATGAGTATGCAAGCTATCAGAATTTATGGTATGCAACAAAAGTGGTTGTAAGAGAGAAGATAGGGGTCTCCCTGGTGGCCTAGGGGTTAAGTCTCAGCACTATCACTGTGATGGCCTGAGTCTGAACCCCCAACAGGATGCTGAACCATATGGCACAGCAAACCTCTCCTGTTCTGCCTACTATTCCCCTGAGCAGTGTGTTTCAGTCAATCTGCCTGTTCTGTTCCCCATTCTGTCTTTGGTGAATCTTCTCACCTCCTGCACCTCTGGCCTGCACCCCAGTTCTATGCAAAAATAAATAAATAAAAATGATAGAAGATAATTACAATAGAAACCTATGTGAGGAAGCAAGAAAAATACCAAATAAACAGTTTAAGTCTACTTAAAAGGCCTCAAATAGCTAAACCAATTTTGAGAAAACAGGAGAAAAAATGGTAGCATCATGTTACTTAACTTTAAACTACTCTATAAAATAATGAAAACAACATAGTATTAGAATAAAAAGACACCCAGATCAATGTAAAAAAATTGACAGCACAGAAATAAATATACATGCATATCAATATACATATCAATACTTAATTCATGATAAGGGAACCATGACCATACAGCAAGGAAAGGAGAATGTCTAGTAAATGGTGCTTGGAAAACTGGACAGTCATGTAAAAGAATGAAGTTGGATCACCTTGTAACTTCATGTACAAAAATAAAATTAAAATGGATTAAAGACTTAGGTAAAAGTCCTGTAACAATGAATATATAGAAGAACACTTCGGAGATTCATCATGACATCAATGATAAAGGTGTCTTTGGAGATTTGTCCTTCATTGTAAGGGAAATAAAAGCAAAAGTAAGCAGTTGGGGTTACTCAAGTTAAAAAATATTTTACACTGGGCCTCCCCGGTGGCGCAGCAGTTGAGCGCTGGGTTGCTAAGCTGCCCACAGCCTCTGCAGCACCGGTTCGATCCATGGCTGCTCCCCGGCCACCAGAGGAGGGTCCCGCATGGCATAAAGACCTCTCCAGCCGCCTGCTGCTCCCCTCAGCAGTGTACTTTGGTCCCTCTGCCTGCTCTGCTCCCTGCTCTGGCTCTGGTGAATTCTCTCACCCTCCCGCGCTTCTGACTGTACCCAGTGCATGTATAAATAAATAAATAAATAAATCTTTAAAAAAAATATTTTACACTGTGGTAGAAAATAAAAGTAGATTAAAAATTAATGAGAGACAATTCTCACACATTGCACAACTGATAAAGGTTGATATTCAAATTATAGAAAAGAACATTACAATTTAACAATAAAAATAACAATAAGTGAGCAGCAGATATGGATAACTCCCGAAGTAGGAAATCCAGATGTCTAATTGATATAGAGGAAATGTTTGTTATTTATTTTAATAAGGAAGATGCAGATTGAAATCACAATGAAATATCATCTCTGATCTTTTAGAATGGTACATAGTTAAAAAAAAAAAAAATGCCCAAAAAGTGCTGGAGAGAATGCAGAGAGAAAGGAGCCCTTTGGTAGCGGTGTAAATTGGTGCAGATATTTTTGGGAAATAATCTGGATTTCCCTTACACCTAAAAATGGAATATCATATGACCCAGTAATCCCACTCTTTGGCATCTATTCAAAGAAAATGAAGCCATCAATTCAAAAATGATATATTCTACATTGTTTATTGCAGCATTATTTATAATAGTTCGGATGGAAACAACCTAAGTGCCCACTGATAAAAGATTGGAGTAAGAAGATGTGGTAAATCCACACAATCAAATATAGGCAAACATAATGAAAGAAAAATTTTGCCATTTACAGAAAAATGGAAGAAATTTGAGGAAATTATGTGTAGTAAAGGAAGTCTGAACATCAAAGACAAATATTGGCTGTTTACAAAGCAGATGATTTCACAGAGCAAAATATTTATAAAAACTAGCAGACTTCAGTAAGCAAAGTGAGGCTTCTGAAGTTCAGAAGGAGGGAGCACAGAGAAAGGATTAAAGGTATACAAAGGATAGAGGTGAAGAAAAAGTAAAATGATTTTAGAAAAAATGTGCTTTTCTGAAAAAGAAGCAGTGTTAAGTTCTAGATTCTATTTAAAAGATTGTTCACAGTACAGATTCTCTGTTGAACACATAATCCTGGGCCTCCTCGGTGGTACAGCGGTTGAGCGCTGGGTTGCAAAGCTGCCCACAGTCTCTGCAGCTCAGGTTCGATCCCCAGCCACCGGGTGAGGGTCCCACATGGCGGGCAGACCTCTCCTGCCGCCAACTGCTCCCCTCAGCATCAGCAGTGTACTTCATCAGTCTGCCTGCTCTGCTTCCTGCTCTGGCTCTGGTGAATTCTCTCACCCTCCCGAGCTTTTGACTGTACCCAGTGCTTGTATAAATAAATAAATAAATCTTAAAAACAAAAACAAAAACAAAAACAAAAAAGCCACATAATCCTTTCACAATATTTTCTTCATAATTTCTCCTAGTTTTGCAATTTTTAAAATAAAGCAATCATTGCAAATGATTTTTGAGATTGAGATAATCTTTAAATAGAGGATAAAACATTTTAAATAAAACAATTTTTTTCAACATTGATAATATTAAAGCATTTTCAGTGATTGAAGACTTTTTGATTATGGACCTTTAATTTCATAAAAGTATGTATCGAGTCTTTCCATAACTTTTAGCAGTAAAATAAATAGTACTGTGGCTAAAGTTTTCTAGTTCAGTTCAGTAGTAAAAGTGGTGTTGCTTGGGAATATTTACTGACCTGTGTTATTGCTGGTTTGCTTTCATATCTTTTTTGTGTAAAACATTGTGAGATAAGGTCAGCAGCTTTTTCCAATGTTGTTTCTTCTGGATTGAGTTTTGGTGGTAGCATCTTGTCCCATGGAACAACCTCATAAGCTCTATGAATTTATTAAACAATGACATATTACAAAAAATATATGTTTATTTGGTATGGTAACTAACAATAGCATAGGTATGGTATGCAGACTTCGAAAATATTCCCTAAGATTTCTGCCCTCTGTGTATATACATATATAATCACCTCCTCTCTTTCAGTATGACTATATCAAGAGTATGTTAGTATAACGGTCCTGAGATACTTTGTATGCAACGTGACATGGCAAAAGGATCATACACATGTAATTATGGTCCCTAATAAGGTGAATTTGGGTAATCAGAAGGTGGATTATCTAAAGTGGCTCTGACCTAAACTGGTGAGCTACAGAGACAAGAAACCACACTCTTAAGCTGCCGTCCTTGTTTCTTTAAGTACTACAACTGTAATAAAGTGAATTCTGCCAACAATCTAAATAGATAAAGGTAAGGACTTAGCCTCAGCTTACACTTTGATTCCAGTCTTAAAGCCCTGAGCATTGAATCCAGCTGGGCTTTACCTGGACTTCTGGCTTACAGAAATGAAATAATAGATAGGTATGGTTTAAAACTACCAACTACATACTCGGTTACAGATCAGCAGAAAACTGATACATATATTTAAACATTTCTTACAGTTTACCAAAAAAATTAATTTGACTTTCACGGGAAAGCAGGAAGACCACTAATTTACAATTACCTAAGTTATATTTTAGAAAGTTGAATTATTTTGCTTAAAATCACTTAGCTATTTATGTTGAAGACAGGACTCAAATCTAGATTATCTGTCTCTGAAGAGCCAACAATATCACCACTGTTTCATACCATTGCATCCAAATTATAAAAAAATCAAGCACTCCAGCCATCTTAGTAAATGTAATAACATTTACAAACATAAGGATTTGGTTCTAAAACTATCATCTTGTACTTGGAATTTTGAAAATTGCTGTTATTTTGACAGACATACATGAGACAAGCAGTGAAACAAACTCTAATTTGATCATTAATAAAAACAAACAGCCCTAATTCCAGTGTCTCTGAATTGAAAAGATTTATGAATAGACTGCCCAGGATGCTATGATTTTGTTTCTGCATTGTTTTAACTTAGTACAAAAGCCTCCTTCCTTCCTTCCTTCCATATTAATTTTTTATTGAGTTAACATTAGTTTATAACACTGCATATGATTTAGAGGTACAGGTTCATACCAATTCAGATATATGTTACCACATCACAGACATAGTTCTCCACCATAGTACACTGGGTCCCTCCTCTTTTTATTCTGCACATTACCCTTTCACACCAGTGATCGCAATTCTATAGTCATATTTTTAGGATTTGTATTGGTTCCCTTTTGGTGGTTCTTTATTTTTTTTTTAAGATTTTATTTTATTTATTTATACAAGCACTGGGTACAGTCAGAAGTGTGAGAGGGTGAGATAATTCACCAGAGACAGAGGGGGGAACAGAACAGGCAGACTGATGCAATACACTGCTGAGGGGAGCAGCGGGCATGGCAAGAGAGGTCTGTTGCTCCATGTGGGACCCTGGCTGGCGGCAGGGGATCGAACCGGTGCTGCAGAGGCTGCAGGCAGCTTTGCAGCCCAGCTCTCCACCTCTGTGCCACTCGGAGAGGCCCTTGGTGGTTCTTTAGTTTTGTTTCTCTGTATTCTACATATGACATCTACCATATGATCCAGAAATTCTATTCATAGGTATTTACCCAAAGAATGAAAAAACACTAATTTGAAGGATATATACATGCCTATGGAAACAACCAAAGTGCCTGATGACAGATGAGTGTATTAAGAAAATTTGGCATATAGACACAATGGCATACTACTCAGCTATAAAACAACAATATCTTGCCATTAGCAACAATATGGATGGGGCTAAAGAGAATTATGCTAATTGAAATCAGTCAGTAGGAGAAAAAATAAATACTGGTATTTTCCCTCTACACTCTGGCCATTTGTTTCCATTTGTTTCCTCTTTTATTTTTTCATAGACTCATCACCTTCTAAGGTATGATTTATTTCCCTAATATATTCTGTTATGTTGCTTATTGTCCATCTCCCTCTGGAATGAGAGCCCCTTCAGAGGGTTGATCTTTCTTCACTTGATTCATAGATGTATCTCAAAGCCTAGGATATGGACACATACAAGTTACTCAATGTATTTTTTAATAGAGTGAATGAGCTTTCCTAATTCATGCTTCTCCTACAATTGTCTTTTATGATCAAAGGATTTTTTTTTATTTTGTTGTTGTATTAAATACATATTTTCTTTATGACTCTTCCTTGACTGGTTTATGTTAGCAATCAATGTAAGTAAGTAAATATTCATAGCCGATCTCTGAATTACTCATAGGATCCTGGATATTGTAAACATAAAGGGAATGAGTCATTAAAGACAAAAGGAATTTACTTTTAAATCAAAATTATATTGGGGAAAAATGCTTACTTTTGTGTAGAGGACTTGTAAAATGAATCTTTTGCATTATATCTCTTGCTTGACTGTTTATCTGGTTCCTCATCATCCTAGAAAGCATGAACAATACATTAAAAGACCAGATATTAGTAGGAATTGCTAATATTTTCTGTTGAAAATGCTTTACCCCCTCCTTCATCTTCTTTCAGAGCACCTGGATTTATCAGGTTTAATGCTCCCCACTTCCTCCACTTTCTTGGAAATTTACATCTGTGTATAATCTCTAGTGATTAAATTAAAATTTATAAAATATATGCTAATATTAATGAAAAGTCAGATTTTTATAAAATAGTTCTTAAATTTTATTTTATTATTTTTTTAAAGATTTATTTATGCATGCAATAGCTGGAGTACAGGCCAGAGATGCAGAGGGTGAGAGTGGATTTACCAGAGACAGAGTGGGGAACAGAACAGGAAGACCAACTGAAATACACTGCTGAGGGGAGCAGTAGGTAAGATAGGAGAGGTCTGCCTCGCCATGTGGGTTTCTCTCTGGCCGGCCGGGGATCAAACTCGTGCTGCAGAGGCTGCGGACTGCTTCACAGTGCAGTGCTCAATCCTTTGCACCACCAGGGAGGCCCAATAGTTCTTAAATTTTAAATCTTGGCAAATAAATAGTTGTGTTCTCTATCTTGTCTTCGAATATACAAGAACTTTATCTCTAGAATACTTCCCTTGCCTATCTTCCATCTTATATTAAAATTATTTAATTATTGTTGTATTCAATTATTGCTCTCTTTAATGGTTACTATTTATTTGGACTTTCCATGACACTTTATCAACCTGCCTATTATGGCCTCCTGTAGTTACAGGTCCTGACCCAAAAGAGTGGATCCTTTGCTTTCTAGAGAAGAATTCACTAGAGACTGCTAGGTGTAGTTGAGCCAAAAAAGACTTTTATAGAGAGGCTCATGCATGAGGGAGCCAGGGCAGGAAAAGAGAACTTAACCTGACTCTTCTAAGGGAGTTAGGTGGTGTTATTTAAAGGGTAAGTCCATAAGTCAGGGCAGAGGAGAGCAGAGTTGTAGGTTGTTCTGGATTGGGCTATCACCAGGCATGTGCAGACAAGATACATTTCAACTAACATTTGGCCTTTTGGCCTCTCCGTCCAACAAATTGTGAGCTAATTAGTCAGGACCTAAATACCTTTGTCTATCACAGTGACTTATAGTCATTGTGTTGGGCCAAATTGTTTGGACAAGGCTCACCAGCTCATGATTTGTCTTCCTGTTCAAATAGGCCTTGAAGCAACTCATCCTACCAGCTCCCAATTTCTTTTACCTAATTGTCTCATTGCATCCTACTTGCTTTTCCTCCTATGGGCTATTGGTCCAATCTTTTTGCTAATGTTCAATTATGGTCAGTTTTTTCCAGTATGTGATATTCTTCTAGTTCTTCTTTTGTCTGTCTTCACTTTTGAATAATGATTCAATTGGGTTAATAATTCTGAATAAATGACTACAATAATGCAGTATATTATCCTTTTACTAAATTACTGTTTTTGATTTTCTAATACTTTGTAAAGATTTTTGTGTGTCTATACATGAGGCAAATTAATCTGGAATTTTTTTTTTAAATTTTATGTATTTTTTACATCATTCTTAATTTTTGTACAATTTATACTTTCTCCTCTCAGTTGTAGTCCCTGTGAAATTTCCTCCACCAATTCACCCATGCGCCATCACCATAGTCCCTTGTGCTCTTCCCACCTCTGTTTTGATACTACTCCCTCCTCCTCACCTGAAGAATGTCTCTGATTTATAGTAGCCTGTTGATTTTGATTTTATTATAATTACATTTTTTTCCTGATCCTTTATTTGGTTCCTCCATATTCCTCCTATAAGTGAAACCATCTGATATTTTTCTTTTTCTTTCTGATTTATTTCACTGAACATAATCCCTTCCAACTCCATCCACGTTGCTGTGAATGGCATGAGTTTGTCTTTTTTTGATTGCTGAGTAATATTCCATCGTGTATATATACCATATCTTTTTGATCCAGTTATCTATTTTGGGGCATTTGGGTCTTTTCTATAGCTTATCTATTGTAAATAGTGCTGCAATAAACATAGGGGTGCAGGTGTCCTTTTGTTTTTGTTTTTTTTTAAAGATTTATTTATACAAGAACCGGAGTACAGGCCAGATGTGCAGGAGGGTGAGAGGATTCACCAGAGACAGAGCAGGGAACAGAACAGGCAGACTGATGAAATACACTGCTGAGGGGAGCAGCAGGCGAGACAGGAGAGTTCTGCTGCGCCATGTGGGATTCTTGCCAGCTGTCTGGAATCAAACCGGCATTGCAGAGGCTGTGGACAGCTTCACAGCACTGTGCTCAACTGCTTGCACTACCAGGGAGGCCATGCAGGTGTCCTTTTGAATTAATGTTTTTGTGACCTTCAGGTAGATTCCTAGGAGAGGAATTGCTGGATGATATGGATGCTCTATTTTTAGTAGTTTGGGGAACATCTGCACAGCTTTCTATAGTGGTAGATCAGTTTACATTCCCGCCAGCAGTGTAAGAGAGTTCCTTTTTCTCCATATCCTCACCAACATTTGTTGTTGCTCGTTTTTGTTTTTTTTTTTTTAATATGTGCCATTCTCACTGGTATCAGATAGTACCTCATTGTGGTTTTGATCTGCATTTTCCTGATTAAAGGGGATGTTGAACATTGTTTTCATATGCCTGTTGGCCGTTTGCATTTCCTCTTTGGAGAAGTGTCTCTTTAGCTATTCTGCCCATTTTTTGACTGGATTATTTACTTTTTGTTTAGTCTCATCTGCTCTTCATAGCTCTTTGTGATCAGCCCCTCATGATTATTATTGTGTGCAAAAATTTTCTCCCAGTTAGTGGGGTGTCTATTTGGTTAATGTCTCTTTTGCTGTACAGAAGCTGTTTTTCTTTTCCTTTACTTTCTTTGCTTTAGGTGATGTGGCTTTAAAGGTATTACTGAGATGTATATTTCAGGTAGTGTTTTGCCTATAAGATGAAAATTAACTAAAAAAGGTAAAAAAATGACATAGATGGTCACTACATTATGATTAAGGGGACAATACATCAAGAAGACATAATATTCATCAACATATACTCACGAAATGAAGGAGCACCAAAATATATCAGACAATTATTATCATCTCTAAAAACAGACATTAGAAAAAATACACATATAGTAGGAGACTTCAGTACACCCAACTCAACCAATGGAAACATCAATGAGACAAATAATAAATAAGGACACTAGATTTCTTAACAAGGACCTAGAACTCATGTGCTTAATAGACATCTATAGACCAACTGCACCCAAAAAAATCTGAGTACACATTTTTCTCAAGTGCAGACACATCATTCTCCAGGATTAATCACATACTGGCACACAATATGTGTCACATACTGCAACACAGATATACCAAGATCAAAATCATACCAACTATATTCTCTCACCATAAAAGCATCAAACTAGAAATAAACCATGAAAAGAATGCAAACCACACTACTGTAAGATCACTGGATCAATAAGGAGGTTAGAGAAGAAATTAAAAAATACCTTGAGATGAATGACAATGAGGACACAACTCTCCAGAATATAATAGTTTAGAATAGGACACAACAAAAGCAGTTATAGGATAAAAGTATATAGCAATACAGGCTCATAGCAAGAAACAAGAAAGAATGCAAAGAAACAACCTAATCTTCCACCTTAAATCACTGAAAAAAAGAACAACATAAAAAACCAACAGCTAGTAGAATAAGGAAATAATAAAAATAAAAACAGAAATAAATGAAATAAAGAAAACAATCCAAAAAATCAATGAAACCAAAAGTTGGTTCTTTGGAAAAAACAAACAAAATAAACAAACCTCCAGTCAGGCTTACAAAGAAAAAACAGGAGAAAGCACAAATAAATAGGATTATAAACAAAGGAGGAGAAATTACATAGATGCAGCAGAAATCAAAAGAATAATCAGAGATTACTATGAACAGGTATATGCAAGCAAGTTCAACAATCTAGAGGAGATGGACAATTTTCTACAACTTTACAATCATCAAAAGCTATATAAAGAAGAAATAGAACACCTAAACACACCAATTACAAGCAGTGAAATTGAAACAGTAATCAAAACCCTCCCCCCAAAAAACAGCCCATGACCAGATGGCTTTACAAATGAATTCTACCAAACGTTCTGAAGCAAACTAGTGCCTACCCCTCACAAACTCTTTCAAAATATTGAGAAGGAAGGGATACTACCATTTTTTTTCTTATTTGGGGTTATTAGGTTAATTTAGATTCAACATTACTTGGAAAATGTTTCTGCCTATTTTTTTCTGAAATAATTTATATAATATTGATGTGATTTCTTCTTAAAATGTTGATAAAATTTAGCAGTGAAACTATCTGATTATGGAGTTTTCAGTGTGGGAAGATTTTATGTATTCTATTTTACTTATTTTTTTAAAATATTTTTATTATTGTGCTGCACTTTGAAGCTGTCCACAGCCTCTGCAGCGCCGGTTCGTTCCTGGCCAGCTGGCGAGGGTCCCACATGGTGCGGCGGAACTCTCCTGTCTCGCCCGCTGCTCCCCTCAGCAGTGTATTTCATCAGTCTGCCTGTTCTGTTCCCCGCTCTGTCTCTGGTGAATCCTCTCACCCTCCCGCACATCTGGCCTGTATCCCGGTTCTTGTATAAATAAATAAATAAATATTAAAAAAAAATATTATTTTATATATACAAGAATTGGGGTACAGACCAGAGGCATGGGAGGGTGAGAGGATTCACCAAAGACACAGTGGGGAACAGAACAGGTAAACTGACTGAACTACACTGCTGAGGGGAGCAGCGGGCAAGACAGGAGAGGTCTGCTACACCATGTGGGTATCTCCCTGGCCAGCCGGGACTTGAACCTGCGCTGCTGAGGTGGCGGACAGCTTCACAATTCTGTGCTCAACCCACTGTGCCACCAGGGAGGCCCTCTGTATTCTATTTTATCTATATCAATTCTGGTATATTATATTTCTAAGGGAATTTCTTCACTCAAAGATGCTAAATAAATAAATATATAATAGTTTAGAATACTCCTTTATTTTTTCCTTGGGAATACTTTAACAATTTTTTTTAATTTCCTATTTTCGTATATGTATATTCTTTTTCTTGATAATACTGATAACTGAAAATAGTTAAGTGTTCATTAGATCATTAAAGTGAATATTTGAACCCAGGAAGCAGTTTGAAAATTTCACTCTGTAAGAGATGTTCTAATAAACATGGGCATGAGTGAGTTTAGTTTATATATAGGAACAGTGAATCATTGACATTAAGACTGCACATTCTTAATAGGAGGAACTTCTAGTTCTATGTTATCCAGACCTAAAGATATGCTGATGCTAGAGGAAGGCAATGGAGGATTTAATTTCTTCCTTCCTAAAGAATGCACTGCAGGGCCTCCCCTGGTGGCACAGCATTTGAGCACTGGGCTGCAAAGCTGCCCGCAGCCTCTGCAGCGCCAGCTCGATCCCCAGCCTCTGGCGAGGGTCCCACATGGTGCACAGACCTCTCCTGCTGCGGCCGCTGCTCCCCTCAGCAGTGTATTTCGGCAGTCTGCCTGTTCTGTTCCCTGCTCTGGCTCTGGTGAATTCTCTCACCCTCCTGCACTTCTGACTGTACCCAGTGCTTGTATAAAAATAAATAAATCTTAAAAAAAAAAAAAAGAATGCACTGCAGAGATGCAAAGCCTGGCATACACATCGTTAAATATTTTTATCTGGTTCCATGTTAGACAATGGCTAACAAGTGGCTTTACCTTCAAGAAGCAGATTCTGCCATATGCAACATGATGGGGCCTGTTCACACTGTAATTCAATGAAGATGACTTTGTTCTCTTACCTGTGAGAGGGAGAAGGGAGAGTTCCCAGAAAAGTTTGTGATTAGTCCACAATGCTATGGGTTCAGTCCTCTGAAGGGTCACATAGATTTTCTCAAGAGACCCAGACTACTTTCCTTGACACCTTGGTATGGGAGCTAGATGTCAATTAAAACTTTGAGCCTATCAAATGCATTACCTTGAAGAATGTAGACTTTTTTAAATGAAAGATTTGAGGGCCCAGTTGGGTAGAAGATTCTGTTCTTGCCCAAGTCCTCTGTCCCTCCCTAATAAGAGACCAATATGTCCTAAACTTCTGCCTTTTTCTTTTTTCCTTTAAAGGCATGGATTTCTCCTATTTTTATTATTTTTTTAAATTTTTAAAAAATTTTTACATTGTTGTTGATTTTTTTTAAACAATATTTGCTTCCCCCCACCCCCTCAGGGATAGTTCCCATAGAATTTCCTTCCCCAATGCACCTGTGCACCATCACCTCAATCCCCTGTGCTCTTCCCTCTGATCCCTTTTCCTCCTCCTCCCCTGCAGTATGTCTGTTTTATAATTGTCTGTTTTTTGCTTTGTTGTGTTTTGTACTGTTATTATTATTTTTTTACAATAATGTCTTATTTGGTTCCCCTATATTCCTGCTATAAGTGAAACCATGTGAAGTTTTCCTTTTTCCTTCTGGCTTATTTCACTGAGTATAATTCCTTCTAGCTCCATCCATGTTGCTGCAAATGGCATGAGTTTATCTTTTTTTTTTTTTTAAGATGTATTTATTTTTATACAAGAACTGGATACAGACCAGATGTGCAGGAGGGTGAGAGAATTCACTGGAGACAGAGCAGGGTACAGAACAGGCAGACTGATGAAATACACTGCTGAGGGGAGCAGTGGGAGAGATAGGAGAGGTCTGCTGCACCATGTGGGATTCTCACCAGCCGGCTGGGATAGAACCCAGCTGCAGAGACTGTAGACAGCTTCACAGTGTGGTGCTCAACCGCCTGTATCACTGGGGAGGCCCTGAGATTATCTTTTTGATAGTTGAATAATACTCATTGTGTATATATACTACATCTTCTTGATCCAGTCATCTATTTTTGGGCATTTGGGTTGTTTCCAGGTTTTAACTATTATAAATAGTGCTGAAATAAACACAGGGTACAGGTATTGTTTTGAATCAGTGTTTTTGTGTCCTTTGGGAGTAATATATTCAACAAACTTCAAGACAGCAAACACCAACCAAGAATGCTTTACCCTGAAAGCTCTCCTCCCTCTATGAAGAAAAAATATGGACCTTCTCAGACAAACAGAAACTCCAGAAATTCATTACAACTAAACCCCCACTCCAAAAAATTCTACAAAGCCAAAACCAACAGAGGAATGATCAAGAGGAACAGAATAAAGTGAGGAATAAAATCACAAAAAAGACAAACAAAATGGATAATATGATGCCAACATATCAGTATTAACTCTAAATGTAAATGGATTCAACTCATCAATAAAAAGACACAGAGTAGCAGGCTGGATTAAAAAACAAAATCCAAACTTCTGCATTTTTCTTAATGGAAGTAGCAATCATTACTTTCCCTTTTATCACTAGAAGAATATAGTTTTGGGAGCCTCATCCAGTAACAGGTTTATTAATAAACATGTTCTAAGTATCTCATCTTTACTATCAGTGTAAAGATGAGATCATCCCCTTCTTTACTGGCATGTGAGGTCTTCGCCTCCTTGTCCTTCACACTGCTGATCTTAAAACATGGGGTAAATATTCCTTATCTGCTACATTATACTTTAGACTTTACAACCATGTGAATTATTTGTATATTATTACATTGGTTGTTTTTCCTTTGCTAAACTTTCTAATGTTATTTTGATTGCTATTCCAGCCCACGTACAATCCAGAAGTTTATAGGATAATTTATTTTGTTACCTGACAATACTAATGAAAGGCCTATTATTTTTGTTGATCTTTTAAAAAAAGATAACTTTTGATTTTCTATCTATTTCTTTTTCATTTATTTCTACTCTTATCTTTTTAATCTGATTCCTTCTTAGTTTTTATTTAATAATTTTGGGGGCTTCTTTTTTTAAACATTATTTATTTATACATACAAGAATTGGGGTACAGGCCAGAGTTGTGGGAGGTGAAAGGATTCATCAGAGTGGGGAACAGAACAGGCAGACTGACTGAAATACACTGTTGAGGGGAGCAGAGGGCAAGACTGGAGAGGTCTGCTGCACCATGTGGGTAGCTCCCTGGCCAGCCAGGGGCTCGAACTCGTGATGCAGAGGCTACCTTCATAGTTCGCGTCTTAACCCCTTGAGCCACCAGGGAGGCCGGAGGGTCTTCTTAAAATTGAAACTAACATCATTAGTTTTAGGTCTTTCTTGGTTTCTAATGTAAGCATAAAAGCTTTTTACTTTCTCAGCTGAGTTTCAACTACACTATAGAAAATTTGATATACTGACATGTATTTTCATTTACTTTTTTTAAAAGATTTATTTATTTATACAAGAACTGGGGTACAGGCCAGAGGCAAAAGAGGGTGAGAGAATTCACCAGAGACAGAGCAGGGAAACAGAACAGGCAGAAGGACCAAAATACACTGCTGAGGGGAGCAAGGGGAAGGCAAGATAGGTCTGTGGTACCATGTGGGAATCTCCCTGGCCAGCTGGGAATTGAACCCACACTGCCGAGGCTGCGGACAGCTTCACGAGGGTGTGGACAGCTTCATAGCGCTGTGCTCAACCCGCTGCGCCACCAGGGAGGCCCTATTTTCATTTACTTTATTTTTTTAAAGATGTTTATTTGTTTGTTTGTTTGTTTGTTTATTTATTTATTTATTTATACAAGCACTGGGTACAGTCAGAAGCACGGGAGGGTGAGACAATTCACCAGAGCCAGAGCGGGCAACGGAACAGGCAGACCGACGAAGTACAGTGCCGAGGGGAGCAGTGGGCGCAGCAGGAGAGGTCTGCACACCATGTGGGACCCTTGCTGGCAGCCTGGAATCAAACTGGCGCTGCAGAGGCTGCGGGCAGCTTCGCAACCCAGTGTTCAACTGCTGCACTACCGGGGAGGCCCTATTTTCATTTATTTTAAAACATTTTCTAATTTCTCTTAGATTTTATCATGTCATAGATTATTTAGAAGTGTAGTTTTTAATTTTAAAATATTTTATGTTTTCCTAGATAAACTAAGGTTATTTATTTTTAGTTTAACTCTGGGGTGATTTGGAAGTATTTGTGAAAATATTATGCAAACTTATTTCAATAATTTCACATATATTAATATTTGATTTTTCAGAAATGATAGAAAATTCTCTGAAAAACATTTTTTATGCTGCAGCATATGATCTATTGTGGTAAATATATCATGTATATATGAAAATAATATATATTTACCATTACTGGGTATACTGTTCTGTAAGTATTGATTATCTGAAAGTGACTGATATGTTGTTTGTCAATGTATTTGCTAATTATTTTGTCTAGTTCTATCAATTGCTGAAAGAAGGGTGTTCAAATTTCCTATTGTGATGATAGAATTATTTCTATCTTATTTTTAGTCTGTCAAATATTGCTTTATGTGTTTTGAACCTCTGTTACTAGACGTATGTACATTTATAAACTTAGATCTTCCTGATAAAATGAACTTCCTAGTATTAAAAAAAAGTCTCTGTATTTTTATATTCTTTGTCTTGAACTCTATTTAATCTGTGGCAACTGTAGTTTATGTTTTGTTTACATTTTATGTTTTCAGTGCCTTTTGTAGATAGAACCTGATATCACTTCATTAGGTATATATTTAACTTTTTTTTTTAGATGTTTCTTTTTTTTTTAAGATTTTTTATTTTATTTATTTATGGGTACAGTCAGAAGCGCGAGAGAGTGAGAGAATTCTCCAGGGGCAGAGCGGAGAGCAGAGCAGAGCAGGCAGACTGATGAAGTACACTGCTAAGGGGAGCAGCGGGCGGCAGGAGAGGTCTGTGTGTCATGTGGGACCCTCGCCCGGTTGCCAGGGATTAAACCAGTGCTGCAGAGGCTGTGGGCAGCTTTGCACGCAGCCCAGCGCTCAACCTCTGCGCCACCAGGGAGGCCCTGTTTAACTTTTAAACAAAGTAATGATACCATTTCACATTTTTACTGGCTGTATGAGAGTGCCATTGTTCTATGTCAATACTTGGAGTTTTCATTCTTTTAAATTTTAGCTGTGTGGGGCTATGCTATCATTTAAATTGTAGTTCACTAATGACTCAGCTGTTAAGTATTTTTTCAAGTGTTCAATAGTCATTCTTTTATTTTTGTGAAGTGTCTATTCAGATCATTTGGTCATTTTTTATTTTGGTTGCTTACCTCAATACTAGTGATTTTAAGAAAATATTACACACTCTAGACAGAAGTCCTTTAACAGACATATTGTTGTGAATAATTTTCCCATTCGGTGACTTGATTTATATATTTCAAAAGGCTTTATAATATTAATGTTATATTGAGACACATTATTTCAGGGGTTTTTGTTTTGTTTTGTTTTGTTATGTCACTTTCTGTGTTTCATTTTGGATAGTTTCCACTGCTATGTCTTCATTTTCACTGATCTCAGTATCTGATCTGCCACTGAAACTACCCTTTTGTCTTTCATTTTAGATATTGTATTTTACATTCCTAGAAGTCCTTTTGAGTTTTCTTTATATCATTAATTTTCCTCCTCATCATGGAATTCCCTTCCATCCTGAATATCTAGGGTGTGTTTGTAACAGTTGTTTGAACATATCATTGTGTGTTTGTTTCTTCATGTCTGTCACTCTAGCTCTATTATTAGGGATTTATTTTTTCTCCTGACTATGGGTAATATTTTCCTACATTTGTTTGTATGATTAATTTTTTATTTTTTCTTTCTTTTATTATTATTATTATTTTAAAGATTTATTTATTTATTTATACAAGAACCCGGGTACAGGCCAGAAGCGCGGGAGGGTGAGAGGAGTCACCAGAGACAAGAGTGGGGAACAGAAC